CATCATCTTCGAATCCGCAATGCTTGAAGACAAGAGCACTTAACAGCCCCAATATCACTCCTGCGCAAAGAATAATAGATGAACTTTAGCACCCCAACAAAAGAAAGGCCGACATTGAGAGGCAACGTGAAACACTCTTACCTATCGAGAAAGAACCAACAAAATTGGCCAAGAAAAACGAAATAGCAAACCATATTCCCCTGCCGTCAACCTTGGTTGTCACAAATGACAACATGGTCCTGTAAAGAACTATCGCAACCTACAAAAACAACAGAAACAAAAAATATTAGCTTCTGATACATAAATTCGCGCAATCCCCTTTAGGTGCAACTTACTGCATCATTCAGTACAGATTCTCCAAAAACTTGGGCGTAGAGGGTGCGGTCTACACCCAATTGCTGCAAAGCCACAACAACGCTCGTAATGTATTTCCGCAACGCAAGGATCGTATTGTAGCAATGAGAAAAGTTGTACCTGGAAAACTGCAAGCACCGACACAGGATCAGTTGCTGATATCAGAGCTCCAAAGGCAAGGCACACCATAATAGGCATGGCGTGAGCAGCATGTAGTAATCCAACAAAGTACCTGTCAGAAATATCAACAAGTCCTCACTCAATGATTGATTGAAAAAATTATCAATGTTTCAGGAGAAAATACTAAAATAGAGAAGGCAAATAAGCTGATGCTGAGCAGTTTACGGGCTCACATGAAGCACCCCACTAACAAGGTCGATATGAGCGTCCCAGCGAATGCGAAGGTACAAATCGCCCCGAAGTTGCTAAAGAATGGTTTCTGGAACCAGCAAATGCGTGTTAGCGAAGCGACTGGCAGCCAGCAGAAGTAACAAGCTAGCTACGCAAACTTACTGTCTTCAAGCTCCATCCCGACTCAGTGGAAAGGTCAAAACGGTTAAGGAAAAACAGGTTTCGTGCGAACACAATTGAGAAAAGGGTGGTCACATATAAAGCAATTGGAGACTCCAAACATGGAGCCTGAGTGTGGACAAGGAACGACATGCGTGCGTAGGTCTAGAGGGCAAGGCGAAGAGAGCAAGAGACCAAGGGGTAATGGCGGACACAGACGACGTGAAAGGATATAATATTATCGGTGGCAGCAAGAAGTAGAAGAAGAAGTTGTTGTTGAAGTTAATCCACTCCCTGCAAACACACAATATGTCGGAGTTTGCATGACTGGAATTGAATGAAAGTTATGAACGCTGACTCACCTGAACTCCGAACCATGTCGAAGGAATTTCACAACCAACCCTACTAGCACACCTGTAGAAACCAACGTTTGTCAGGAAAGAAAGTCACGAGAGCTCAACCACACATTAATCGGCATACCAAAGGCTAAAGCCGCGCCAGCTTCAGGGATTACAACAATCTTCTTCCGTCTAAGACCATGGCCCACCAAAAGAGCGATTGCTAGCATAACCAGCTGAACCAGCAATGAGACGCTAGCTATGTACGATGCGCCTTTGGGAGCCATCGGAACGGGAATTTGACCGCACGGAACCATTCCCGTTGTGAATATGCTAACGTCCGTGTCATTTGCATTCGGCGTCAAGACGCTGACATCCGTATCATTTCCTAGGGTCAAGTTGAACCCAGATGTATCCATGGCGACGATGTCAGGAATGCAAGAGTGGGAATGCAACCAGGATTACCAAGCTGTACAGCTGGACACTAAAGGTATATGTTATGCATTCGAAGCAGAATAGCAGACAATCAAGCTTTCAGGAAGCTACCGTTTCAAGGAAGTTGAGAGGGCTGAAGGGTGTGTCCTAGAATGTCTGCCTTGCCTCTGAAGGGTGAATGGTGAATTTCGCTCCAAATCAAGCTCTCAGATTTGGAGAGCCCAGAGCAACAGAGTGGGGGTTGTTCGGCTGAATGGTGGATTTCGCCAGTCCAGCAAGTTGCGAAAGTCGTGGAGGAAAGTTACAGTGCGAGGTTTTTGCTCGAATTTGAAACTCCAGTGTAAAAATTGTCGCAATAAGGGCGTGTCCAGCACGTACACTTTGGGTGGTTACGAGTCAAAATGGTACCGCTTGGCGTACCATTGACGTTTCCGAGTCTAGAAATGAGCGGACGGACACAATCCGCCACTCAGCACAACTCGCACAGCAAGATGCGCGACAGTGGCGACAAGTCAATATTGTAACCAGAAGTGCAACAGTCCGTGCGCGCTGGACACGCCCTAAACACCACCACACCCTAGATTTTTCCACAAACAATCGACCGTCGATCCATCAGGAAGGAGACCAATCTTGCCTTCCTCCTGCTTGCACTGCACACAGCGAACTGTCATCTCGCATCGCGACCACTATGTATTTCTTTGTTGGAGTGATATGTGACTCCATTTCGTTGACAAAGGTAGTGCGTAGTTTGCTGCATCGTGTTTCTTGAAGGAAACAGGTAGCATACCACAGATCCGAACTTGAATAATCATATTGCATTTCAACACGATCTGTCCTTCGAATGGCGTCGTCAGGAAAGGATAAGATCAACATGCTTGGTGACGCACAGGTCGATCAGCTTGACAGGGACCTTCGCGAGTTTAGGAGGGATCTGGGCACACTGGCTGATAAGCAGATCGCCAAGCAGCACGACGCCGCGCGGCGCGATTCGGCGACAGTGCGTACGACGCAAGGTGATGCATCAGTGCTTGGGCTCTGGTTGTTGCAATGTCCATAGCTCCAAGTCAGCTCGCACTTTTCGAGGTGTTTGCCTAATCTGGAGCATGGGGTATGTGGTGACCGCGTCTACGATTCTTATACACTATGCCGTAATTGTCGCCTTTGAATGCAGATAAGCTAAACGAATTGAGGCGACTGGAGCAGGATTTTTTGGCTGAGGAGCAGAGCATCTTGAAACGTAAGCTCCCATGTTGCAAAATTCACAACTTCAGTTTTTTTCTGGATTGGCTGGGAGAGCAAGCTGTTTGTGCCAAAAAGAGCACTTGTTGCAAGCTGTCACTGCCAGTACACCTGCTTGTAGGTGTCACTTCCAGTCCAAGTTGCTTTTCTTTGTGTCCCCACCTCATGTCTGGACTCGTTTGCCTTGCCCCCTCTCCCACCTTGTGCTCCCCTCCATCCCCCCTGCTCATCCCAGAGCAAGAGGAGCAGCAGGATGACCTGGACCGGCAGTGTGAAGAGATGGCAAGGCTGGGTCTGGACAAAGCGATGCTGGTGCCTCAGCTAGAGAAGGCGAAGGATTTTGTTGCAGAATTGGAGGCGGACGTGCAGGCAGAGGATGAAGGTGAGGGGAGTGATGGGACAGCAGGTGATTTTTTCTCTTGGATGCAACAGTTGCGTATCAATCACCGCCCACCTTCTCAACGCTTTAAATTTGTGTGTTTTTTATGCACAGCTCTCGAGAACGCAGAGGAGGTTCAGCAACAGCGCATCGATGCCCTGCTGTCAGTCGTGATAAAGTTCAGAGAAGCCTTTGGCCTTCGCTTCGATCCCACTCCTGGTGCGTTCTCACCACACCTTCATTTCTCAAGCCTGGTGCATTCCTTGCTTGGCATTCTACAAGACCTCTCCGCCCTCACTACCTTCCTCGCTCTCTTTTTTTCCCTTTCTCTTGATGATTCCTCTCGTGCCTCCCTCTTCTGACCAATACCATCCCATTCTCTTTCCCCGTGGAGCAGGTACACCCACAACACAAACGCATTTGCACATTCATCACCACTACCTCCCTCGCTCTTTCTTTTGCTCTTTCTTTCACTGATTCCGCTTGTACCCCCCCCTCTTCCCCAAAGTAAATTTCATCATTTCCTGTCGTGCTGTATGTACACCCTCGCGACACACAGCACAAACGCATTTGCACATTCACCCACTTACTCACGGATCTGCACTTGCAAATGAGCATTCACGTGCTAAACTGCGACCGTCTTTCCTTTTCTGTGTACCATGACCCTTGTCTCCAGATGGCTTGCTTCGATTGACCTTTACAAAGATAGATCCCCTGATGCCTGAAAGGCAGTTCATTGCCCTGCTAGATATGGGCGGTGACAGGGACAAGAGCTTTCGAGGTACGTGAAGTGATAGTAAAGGGTGTAATAAACTTTATAACAGATAGAGTTTAGAGGGAGCCAAAAAATATTTCATTGTTCCTGTCGCTCTCCGCCTTCTCCATATCCCTCACCCCCATTTCATAATTTCATCCACTACTCCAACCAGCATCCACCTTTTCTCCCTTATTTCCATTGAACTGCAATATCTGCGTAGTGATAAGCAGTGAACCGTCCATTCCAGGCTTGGCAGAGGCAGTGCAGGCAGCAGCAAGCGAAGGCGACCTGAGAGCGTTGTTCAAAGGAATACACACAGAGTTCAAGAATGCTGTTGCTGAGGGGGTGTGAAGCACAGATGAAGCCAACTACAGCAAGGCAATGTTGCAAGACCTTCGAAGGTGACATGTCATGATGATCAACTGTGACGATTCTTGAGGCGCCTTAGAAATGAAGCCCGTTACAGCAAGGCAGTGTTGCAGGCTCTTCTGAGGTGACATGTGATGATGGCCAACTATGGAATGAAGCTACAGTGGTGAAAAGTGGTCCACAAACTTGTAAATAGGCATGCATCATCCAACAGCTTTTGAAATCAGAAGCGCCACACAATAAACTATTAGAACTGTTTACCAAAAGTCTTCTATTTTCTTTTTGCTCATGGACTCTCCGGACACACAAGCAGCCCTAAGGAACTTGTTCCTCCTGCCCCTCTCACCAATTCAGGTATGGCTTGAGTTGCTGAGTGGGGTACATTTGCGTCTTCTTTCCCATTTCAAATGTTGCACAAGTGAAGCATTTTCCTGGATGAGCATTGACATGATAAACCATTGACATATAGACCTGAACACAATTTGAGCTACAGCTTCTAATCACATCACACCATGCCAGAGCCATCCCTTGGGGAGCACTCCATGCCAGAGCCATCCCTTTAGGAGCACTCCAGGCCAGAGCCATCCCTTTAGGAGCACTCCAGGCCAGAGCCATCCCTTCAGGAGCGCTCCAGGCCAGAGCCATCCCTTGGGGAGCGCTCCAGGCCAGAGCCATCCATTGGGGAGCGCTCCAGGCCAGAACCATCCCTTGGGGAGTGCTCCAGGCCAGAGCCATCCCTTGGGGAGCGCTCCAGCCCAGAGCCATCCCTTGGGGAGTGCTCCAGCCGAGAGCCATCCCTTAGGGAGCGCTCAAGGCCAGAGCCATCCCTTGGGGAGCGCTCCAGGCCAGAGCCATCCCTTGGGGAGCGCTCCAGCCCAGAGCCATCCCTTGGGGAGTGCTCCAGCCGAGAGCCATCCCTTAGGGAGCGCTCAAGGCCAGAGCCATCCCTTGGGGAGCGCTCCAGGCCAGAGCCATCCCTTGGGGAGCGCTACAGCCCAGAGCCATCCCCTGGGGAGTGCTCCAGGCCAGAGCCATCCCTTGAGGAGCGCTCCAGAACCATCCTCCTCAAGAGCGTGCTGGAATTGATACGAACGTGGAGGAGAGAACACAAAGCATAACCACAGTTGAATGGCAGCACATGATCATCCTTCCACCCCCACTGATTCCCAACCCACTCTCCCGAACACCCTGACATGCAGGGTGCAAAAAAAGGACCCACCATCATCCCACTTCCCAACCTCCCAACCACCTCCCCACTGCTGCAATCTGCTTGAGGTGCCTCTGTGCTCTCCACCGTCATCCCGCTGGAATACTCCTTTGCTGCTTATCGAATAAATTTTTTTTTCTTCTTTTTTTTTCGCATTTTTTTCCCACTATTTTTTCGTTTTTTGTTTGTTTGTCATTTTTTTTACCCAAGAGGAAATCAGGCCCCCTTTCCCACGGGAATCCACTGGGAGGTGTCCCAGGGGAGGTCCCCTTTCTCATATGACCCGTGTGCAGTCTTGGTAGATCAGCGTCGTAAGGCTTACGGCCGCCATGGACGCCGTGAGCTCGCAGCGAGCACCATCTTGGACGACGATCCAGCACGAACCCTTTTCACTGCAGCCGCGGGAATTGCATCACTCCTGCCTTCGAGCTGCTTCGTACCATTGGAACTCCGTCTGCTTCGCACCTGCCTCTCAGCTGCAGCGGCTCGTGCGGGTCGTGGGATCAGCGTCGTCCCCTCCGCGCGGCTTTTCACGATCATTCTTTGACCGCTTGGTTTAGGGATGCGAGATGGCAGCGGCTGTGAGGTAGGTACGGAGCGTGTCGCTGGCTTCGTCGAACCAGCTGCTACAGCCATTAGAGGACATTCAGTCGGCAGCAGTGATGTTGCTGGTTCGGACGTCAGCAATTCCGACGCCGCTGGTTCCATCGCTAACGCCGGTTCTGACGCCACCGCTGGTACGACAGGCGTCATCAGATCCAATGTTGAACGATCTAGCGTCGTCGGATTTGAGAAGGTCGGATCGGATGCCTCCGATGCCTGGCTTACTTGCTCGTGTTGCTGGAGGAGCGCGGAGGTTGAAGCAATGTTTCAGTCCGCTTCTCGCGACCGAGGCTCTTCCAGAAGCTAAGAGCATCCACATACGACGGGTAATCAGAGGTCATTGCACTGAAAACGAGGAGGTGAGTGAGAAGCCTGAAGCTGATCCGAAGGCTAGAGCTTCTTGTGGTGAGCAGACGAGGACTACTATACTGCTGGTATTCCTTGGCTGCGAATTTGTACCCAGAAAGCAAAGTCGGAGAGGGGTTGGAGGGAGAATTGGGATGATGAAAGGGTCCGGAAGCTCGTCCTGCGGATTTGCCTGGGGAAAAATGCTCGTCATCCTCGTCTCGTCCTGGGAGTTGGGACGAGTCGAAAGTGGGCGCAAAGCTGGCGCAAGGCTGCGCCGAGTACGACATCCCCCACCGCCCCTTGTGCACTGCTGCAACTGCCCGTTTCGACCCGGTCCTGCCCGAAGTTTGCATGTTTGAAGTTTCGAACCTTTGAAGTTTCGAATGGTTGAAGTTCCGAATTGTGTGCTTGCTAAATCGCGACTATCGTCAATGTAACCAGTTCGGCTGCCTTTTGACGGTGTCTTGTCGCCCGGCCGGTTGCGACCAAACGGTGTGCGCGACGTCGCACGGCTCTGAATCGTGGTTCCGATAATGAGCGACCCTCGTCTCATCACAGTACCGTCATATTAGACGTGCACACAATTCGGAAAATCCACTCCTTCTCTACACTTGTTTCGGGAAATGGTTGTACTCGACTTTAAGTTACTGTCAAAACTAGTCACGTTATCCGCGCGAACACAATTCACTCCATCAAATTACTTCCCCGTACGCTCGTTTCGGTCCACAATCGACACAATATCCCGCCCGCTTGACCGCAACATGACGAGCATTGCCGTCACGATTTTATATGTTGATGTTTGGGTGTTAATGACGTTTTTCTTCTGCGTCACATTTCATAGATGAAATACTAAAAACATTTTAGTGCGGAACGAGTGTAGGTTATTACTGTTCCCGCCCTGACACAACCAATGATCGTCGAGGTCACACTCTGACATCTGCACCAACACTGTCTGCATCCGGCGAGCGTCCTCCCTCTCTGATGGCATCCAATCGACAGAGCAGAAACTGGCGGGAGCGACCAGATTTGCAGAGAGCCGACAATTGCAGTTCTGCTCGACGCGATGCGAGGAGAACGGGCGATTTCGATCTATGTCCTACAGTTTTGCTCATCGTTCCGGTTTCGGGTTTAGTTTCTAGTCATTTCCGATCAACATGACATGCATCATTGTCCAGTGATTGTGCTGCATCTGTTATCGACTTCCTCGTCTACAGATTTCTTCTAGTTTTTAGAATCAACGGTTCATCTACCGCTGGGGAGTCGTCGGACATAATGAATGTCTGTAACTTATAGAGTAGACTTGCATGCTAGGTCTGCACATTTGGTGTTGCCGATGATCTTCATTTTTGCGTAGTAGAAGTGGTAGATTATAGCTTTCTTTCAACTCTAGCAGTAGAGATTAGGACCTACGCGGAAGGTTCGCGTTTTTTTTTCGAACATGCAGCAGAGCGTACGGTGTCGTGAATTTTGATTCTACATATCAAAATGGAGCAGCATCAAGAAGCTGGTTGGGTAAACGCTTCCCAACCAGACAATGAACCGGCGGATGTGAACGACGAGGATCTGCAAACAGTTCCGGAAGGTATCGACCTTACGGGCGAGGCTCATCATGAGGAGTTCTTCGAGCCAGTCGAGGTCGAAGATGTCGACGAGGACATTTTCGCGGATGGAAGGCAAGCTGTTGAGGAGGAGGACATGGAGAACGAGCGATTTTACAACGCTCCCGAGGAGCTAGGAGCCACAGGCGTTGAGCCAAGAAAAGTATGGGACCTCAATGAGCCGCCGAGCGACAGAGTCCCGGGAGAGCACCTTGCGGAAGTTGAGCTATCTGGCGAAGATGGGGCAAGCGGGTCTTCCTCGAGTGGGTCGCCAGCATCAGACAGTGGGCGTAGGGGTCCGACAACGGATTTTCGGCAGCAGAATCTGCAGGACGAGTGGAGGAACCCTTCCTACATTTTAGCATCGGACAGTGGGTTTAGGGGTCCGACAACGGATTTTCGGCAGCAGAATCCGCAGGACGAGCGGAGCAACCCTGTCAACATCCCAGCATCAGACAGTGGGTGCAGAGGTCAGACAACGGGTTTTCGACGTGCGAATCCGCAGGACGAGCGGACGGACCCTTTCGACCGCCCACCTGCACCCGAGGTCGAACGTGAAGAGGGAGGGACGGATACGCGCCGGTGCTTGGACTGAGATTCAGAACAGCCTGTTCCTGGTATCCGTCCTGAAATTCCAATGCCACGGGAGAAGAAGGAAGCTATCACTCGAGCATGGAAGCATGTTATTTCAAGGTCGGATCAAACGAATAATTGCTACCACGGTTGCTGGTGGTACTACAAGAGATGGGTTTTCTTGCTGATGGCGCAGCTGCTCGATGTTCCAGAAGATGAGAGGCTGGACCCCGAAAAGCCGGACGAAATTGGGATCTTTCTGGGCAACGACAAGGGACAGGGCTGGGACGGCGTCCCGAAGAACGAATCCCATCTGCACGGGCCGAAGCTGACTTTGTGGCGGCTTTGTCGTTTCATGGAGTACTTGTTCACCGGAACAGAGGAACAAGCGAAGAAAATGCGGGAAGGCCGTCAGATGTATGCGGGTAAAGTGCCGAAGGCTTGCACAGCTTCCATGCTGAAGGCGAAGATGAACGCGATGAGTTGTCTAGGAGAAATCGAAGGACGCCTTTTCAGCTACTCTGGCTCTCGTGTGTCGGACATGATGAGGGAGGCAAGGGGTTTGCTTCGGATCAAGCTCAGCAACAAGCAAATCGAGTGAGTGAAGTAGACGATTGGTTTATTGGGTTCCTTTGGGTTGCTAAGCCGCTAACATGTTTGTTTCTGTGTGTTGCAGCAAGGGGTTTGAACAGACGCGCGGTTCTCTGAACGACGTGTACACGGCAGCGCAGTACAGGGATCTGTTTCACAAGGTTCTGCCCGAATGGAGGACAACATACTTCAAGGCCAGCGTGCAGTTCCTATCTGAGGGATTGTGGAGGGTTCTGGCAGTGGCCGTCATGATCACGCTGGCGCATCAGATGCTGGGCAGAGGGTGCAGTATCCGCTCTCTGCGATTTGCCAACATGTACGTCCACGAGACTCGCAGCACTACTCTCCACGACGAGTTTCTAGACCTTCCAGTCATGGTGTTCGTTTCTCGACAGACGAAGAACAATCCCACGAACCGTTTGTCCCACCAGTATGTTGCTAGGCACATCGACTACAGGCGGTGCGGCTACGGTGGTGTCTTTCTGTGGATCCATTTCGTGTACGACCTTGTCGAGGTCCAGTACAAGAAAAACCTCATTCCACCGTTGAAGTTTGACAAAAACACGGACTGGTTCAAGAAACACATCTTCTTCCCGATCAACAAGCACACCGACAAATCACCCCAAGAGCAAGACCCGATGGAATACAACACGCACAACAATTGGATCGGCTGGGTGATGACTAAGGCGGGATGGTCGTCGAGCAAAGTGACCCACATCTTCCGCAGGTCCGGGGCGCAGGGTCTCAGCGACGACCGGTGCCCAGACGCCCTCATTGCGAAGCTGGGAGGATGGGAGCAGGGAGAGATGCGGAGGTCGTACCTGTTGGGCGTGCCTTTCGAGCCGGTGCTTTTGATGGCGTGCTTTTCGGGTGATCCCGGGGACTACTACATCGGCAGAGCACATGCGAAACTAGAGGATGAGCGCGAGTGGGAAGAACTCCAAGAATTATTCCGAAAGCACATCTACCCGTGGCTCGAAGAGGAGATGGCCAAGGTGCGTCATCAGAGCTGGGTTTTTCGTTTTCTGGGTTTGGTCTCTTCATCTTTTTTTGGGCGTTTCGCAGGTCGAAAAGTTCAACAAAGACAAAAAGTCGCACGAGAAAAAGCTATCGGCAGAGCAGTTTTTGAAGGCCCTCCATGACCATGGGCGCTCTACGGTTGCTCAGGACCTTGCGATGTTTTGGATATTTTGCGAGAACCCCAAGTGCAAGAGCAAGTTCACAGGTGAAGGACGTGCGTGCAATTGTACCCGTCATCCATACGCTGAGATCTCGCCTCTCTGTAAGGAGCCCTTGTTTCAAAAATGGGCCAACATTGTCGCGAACATGGACGAAGAAGGTCGTCGTCTTCGGAAAGATGTGGGCCAGTCTGCAGCAGCGGTAAGAGATTAGTTTCTGTGCGGATTGAGTTTGTGACTTCCTGAGCCTCGCGTTTTGACATTTGGTGTTGCACGGGTGCAGGATGCCATCTATCGACTCCAAGGAACCCAGCAGATGACCAAGCTGCGACTCCTAAACCAGGAGCTCATGGAGAATGCGGGGAGGCTGACGGCGGAGAACGGTCAGTTGAGGATGGAGAACAAGAGTCTTCACGAAGAGAATGCGCTACTGAAAGCGGCGATGGCGGCGTCGCAACGGGATTTTCGCGGCGACGACGCTCCGCCCTGTGTTGCGTCGAACGGAGGGGCCGCCGATCCAAAGACGGAGGTTTGCGACACGAAGCCCGAGGTGGAAACTCAAGAACAGGTGGATCGGAGGGTGTTTTTCGCGGCTGTCCTCAACCCATGGCTCAAATGCAGCAAGCTCTCAGACGCGTGGAAGCTTTGGGACAGGGGCACTGGTATGATGGGCGGCAAGTCCATCCGCGATCTGGCGAAAGATGTTGACTTTCTCGCAACCTACTCCAAGTATGGAGACCCGAGTGTCTTAGCAAAAACGCGTTCCAAGCGGTTGGGGCGGAAGAGGAATCAGATGCTCACCATCGACAGTCTGCGA